TAAGGAATATTTACGGGATCAGCAAAGTCGAACGTTAGAATGAACAACAGCCTAATATGTATCTAATTGTGAATTGTGGAAATGCGCGCGCGAATCGGTGAGCGGAGCGATTTAATTGAAATTGATTCACGCGAGGACTATTAAATGGAACGCGCGCCACTCGCAGAAACCAATTACAGCAAACCGATAAACGGAGTCACCTACTAAACTCCCAATCCGATTACAAATCGCATTCGTGCGTCAGCCGCGCGTATATCTATGCGCGAATACGCATACGTTTATGTGCGCGCGTTTGACACGATTCGTCCGTCACCACGCGTGCGTGTATTCTAAATACCCTAAAAACGTCATTAAATTGGAATACGAAAATATTGGAAATAATAAAATAAATAAATTTTATAACATAAATTTTTATTTAGTTAGCACAATTTTTTGATATCATTATTTTTCTTGGAAATTAAAATAACTACTTTGTATAACAGTTTTTTTAGTTAAAATGTTTTTATTTAAATAATGATAAAAGAAATAATTTTTATTCATTTGGTTCCAAATACCCTAAAAACGTCATTAGATTGGAATACGAAACCGCGCAAAAATATTTTCGATATATCTTTTGCGGAATCGACAGCTAACGCGTAATATGAAATCATGCATTGAACTTTTGCCCGCGCATTCGACAATTCTATTACATAGTTGGAAAATTTGTCTTAAATTTAACATATAGGTATACATATTGTCCCAAACCATCCACACAAATTTTTGCGTTGGTTTAACATAATATGGATATGTTAAATAGTGACACTAATATTATATGTTAATATTTCAACACAAAATGAATGCAAACTTCATAGTAATCTGAAATAAATTTTGTGTAAAATCAACATAATTTTAATGATAAAATTAACTTAGAAGAAAAGTTATTGATGATCTGTAGTCACTCTCACTTCCATTGTAGAATAAAATCAATATTTTTTTTTTCTGTAAATTTTAACACATAAATTCTGTCACTAATGATACGGAACATATTTATTGTGTAAAATTAAAAATATATGCACATTATGTTATTTTTACACTTTTTCCAGTTGTTTTAAGAATTTAACATTTGAGTTCAATTAACATAACAGCAATATGTTAAATTAACACATAAATGTGTTAAATATTTAATACAAAAATGTTAACCGGCATATTTTTTAACAAGAAAATTTTTCAAATGATCATCTCATTTTTCAAAATTTTACCAAATAAATTTTTCAGCGGTATATTCTTGGAAAATGAGACCGTCAGTAAAGGATTAAAATAAAATTAGGAGAGCAAGAGTATACGACTTTTTAATGAATATGTTAATTCTTACGAAAAAGAATTTATTATTACATTTTATTAGACTCTGAGATATTTCAATTTTCGAGTAAAAATCTTCAAAGTGTATCGATCACTCATAAAAGCCTGAACAAAATTCAAAAAGTGAGAGCGCGATCTTATTTATCCTATCTGTATAATGTCCAATATGGAAAAAAAAGAATTACGACGTGACTTCACGATTCTGTATTCATCAAACTTCTTTTCGATTCGTCTAAATAAATTCTCGCGCGTCATCGAGATATCGGAGCGATCGTTCATAAACATTTTTGCGGATTGAAAAAAAGACGCAGCCACTCGTAATGCGTTGAACTAAGTTGATGTACGATGGGACACCTCCTGACCCCTTTTTACGTCACGGAAAACATGTTTCCGCCGATACACTAATTCGATCGCTGTAATTTGGGTGATCCCGATTTGGTCCGGGTTTGGAGATTTTTCATGCGATCGATTCGCGCAATCGGGTCCTGGCGCCGATGCGGCGATTTCGCACGCGTTTTCCGCAAGATCGGCCTCAAGACTTTCACCTGGTACACTCGGCTCGCGCGTGTTCTCCAACGTTCTCCAATGACGCGATCGGTCGTCTCTCGTTATGTGCGAAACCGAGACCTAGTTTGCCCCGCGACCTGGCGCGCTCTATTAATAGGTGAAATGATTTTTGCGTATCACGGATCCGCTGATAAGCCACCGCCACCGTCGATCGACGCGCTTGGAGCGTGATCCAGAAAAGTGGAGGTGACGGTTCCGAGGCAAAGCGCGAACCGCTACATGATTCGCGCTCATGTCGTGTGAGCCTATCGGAAAGTCGTCAAACGTCAAGCAGATAAACGTCGTAAAAGAGGCAATCCGTTAATTTTAATTGCATTTACTTGACACATATTTCAAGTACTGTTCGTCAATGACATTCATATTATCAGTCCTTGATATTTCAATCGCCCTGACGTTGTAACGATTAAAAATTTATATGGTATTGTAATTTAAATTTTACAGCGAATATTATATTATAATATTATAATATTATATTATATTATTATATTATATTATATTATAATATATTATAATATATTAAATTATATTATAATATACTATGACTACGAAAATTATTTAGTTATATTATAGATAAAATATAAATATTGTAACACTTTTTATCTCGTGAATCGCGACTCGTCCCATTTTTAATATCTCGTCGATCCAACTCGTACCTCATTAATCTCTGTATTCCGAGGGGGCAACTCGCGCTTTTACGACACGGTCAATTCATGTTTTCAAGACTCGTTGGCGACGCCGGTGGAACATTATCGCGGCGATATTTAAGGAATCGCCGTCGTGTTGGACGACTCCGGGCGGCTCTCGATAGCTCGTTCAGCCCCTTTATTTTTGCGCGTCTCAGAAGCCGAATGACAGCGCTTTTTCTCTCTCTCTCTCTCTCTCTCTTTTGCACGTCCATTAAATCGCCGTGCGTGCATAAATAAATCATGCGTTATCATCCCGTGGGGTAGCGAGGACCGGGCGATTTTCGACTGGGGGACTGGTTTTTTCGCCGGCTCCCCTCTCCCTCCCACCCCTCCCCACAAAACTTGCGACGCGCGAAGCGACGTAGTGAGAAGAGCAGCAAGAATAAGGTATGCAGATGCGGTAGCCGTGCCCGCGGCTCGAATCGCAACAAAGTTTTACACGTCGCCTGCTGAATATGCAAGCGCATCTGGCTAGGTCAAGGGTGTGGGAAGAGGACGACGAAGAAAGGTACGAACTCGGCGCGTCTCGTATACGCCGGAGAGAACCCGTACCCCGTCCTGTTAGATATATCTCCCGAGGGACGGGAAGAGGGGGGGGGGAGGGGAGGAGGGGATCTCCGCCCCCGGTATCCCTCGCTGCCTAAAATCCATGTCAGGATACACCTGATGCTCATAATATGGCGATTAAGGCTAAGGCAGACGCATAAAAATGCAGACGACCGAGAGACCGAGTTACGAGATTGCAACTAAGTAAACACTTGCCCTTCTCGGAGCTACCGGCCATTGAATATTCAAGGACGAACCAGGAGAAGCCGTCCGCATCTCTCCGGATCCCCGGCCGGCGTTTACTTCGATGGAGAAAGAGAGAGAGATAGAGAGAGAGAGAGAGAGAGAGAGAGAGAGTGAGAGAGAGAGAGAGAGAGTGAGGAGGGACGGGGTGGACGTGTCTTCCTTCGACGCGCGGGACGAAGGACGAAGCGCGCGACTGCATCTCTTCGCGTCTCACTCCGGTGAGGGGGGACAGAGGGGTGACCGCGATAAAAAGGGGTACCGCTCAGAAATTTATGGGGCTCAAACTCGTTCTCGTATATGAATGACACGCCGTCCGGCCAGCGTTGGCTATCTTATTAGAAGGTATATCGATACCATCGGCGATACGCGAGAAAACAGGTGAAAGAATATTCTTAGAAATATATTCAGAGAGAAAGAGAGATAGAGAGACAGAGCGCGTTTATATAATATTTTTTCGAGAAACATTTTCTCAAAATATCCTCATTTTTAGGAAATGGAATATCAGATTATTTAGTGATGCGATCCATATTAATCTGATAATGTGCTATTTTTTTCCCTCGTTATTTCAAGCTGCTTTTCCGGACCACTTTGGAATCACGTTACTCCACGATTGGTTATTCCGATGATTTAAAGACGACCAAGAACGAATATCCACTTTGGTTTCCCTTTTATCCGGCCCGAGTGAAAAAAAGAAAACGGGAAAGGGGATGCCCGGTTAAATTACTTTCATCGCTTCCACGTGGTCCCCGCATTTATCCCAACGAATCCATGTAAATCGATAAATGCCCACGCGCGCGTACTCACACACACATGCACACGCGCGAATACGGGTATATGCGCGTGTGTGACTTTACCAGACGGATATGTATGCAAGCCAGAATTTCATTATGCATGGATTGACCCCAGCTCATGCTTCAATACTACATCAGCATAGATTGGAATCGAATCCGAGTTTTTTGGATGACTCTTTTTTTTTTTTTTTTTTTTTTATTTTGTGATCCGAAATTAGATAACAACTTTGTGTTTTCGAAAAGAAAAAGACAGACGATGACCGATTGTGACTCGAAAGCAAATTCTCACACACACAAATGATACATTCACACACCAATATATATATAAATACACACACACAAACACACACACATATATATATATATATTTTCGTTATCGCCATCATTCGCGTCATCTTATCATTTTCAACTTTGTTTCTGTTCCCTTCTTCGCTCATCATTGGCAAAATATCGCGCGAATCATCCCGTCCCTTATTAACTGAGAGGAGCATCGAGAATACTTTTATGCGCCATTAATGCGATTCTTATATTGTATCTATGTACTTGAAAACGCATTTCTCTCGCGCAGTGTATTAAAAAAAAAAACAAGTATCGCGTGGCTGTACCTCCGACGATTATGTCTTAACGCGATTCAACTAACGAAAACGAACGACTTATAGCTCGAGGGTCGTTTCACGGGACGATCCTGGCTGAGAGGGAATGTACATGATATTTCCTTGGGATCTTCGACTTTAGGTTTACCAACGATCTCTTCGAGATGAATATGGAGTCTATTTTTCTCTCGTGGTTAAATATATTCTATAAATATACTTTAATACCTAGGTTATTAAATCTCGGATGGAAATTCTGAAAAAAGATAAATTTTATTCCTTAAATCTCTCGCACAATTAACTGTATTAGAAGTAAGATTATTTTGCAATTTGTGAAAATTTGTGTTCATAATTAATTCTTCTTCTTAACGTCATTAATTATTGATAAATCATTGAAAATTTTTTTTGAATTAAAATTCATAAAAAAAAGAGAAAAGGAAAAGAAACTATCGAACCTTTTCTTAGTTGAAAAAAAAATATACTCCAGATCGATCGAAAGAGGAATTTGTTAAAATTATGATCGAGGCTTTCCCGCACTTTCGAGTCGCACAGCTGACACGGTGTCGACCAGATTGTTTCACGCCGCGCAGAGTTTATATTCTTGTCCGTGTGTGTCAATATACATATATATACATATATATATATATATAAAAAATTGCTGAGATTGAGAATTTACCTTTTTCTTCTTTAATATTATACTCTTGTTTTTTATACTGTAGATACAGATTAATTTCGCCTCTCTTTTGAGCAGCAGCCTTCCCCAATGATAAGATCGTATACTTTGTAATTAGCGTATTATTTATATCACTTATCAAATTATTAATTGTCTCCAAAGTTTGTCTCCCAATAATGTATTTAGGCACTTTATTAAATTCTTCTGGACTGATAAATAATATCGTTGGGCATACTTTTGGTTCATTGAAAAGTGTTCTTTTACAGTCTTTTATTATTTCTTGTTCAATAATATCACTATCGTATATAGCAGATATGTTATTAGCAGATAGTTGTTGCCCCATCAATTTGTGTGTTGAATTCATAGCACTTTTTGCTGTAGCAGAAGTGATTTGAGTTTGAACGTTTTTTTGCTTATCAGCATTTTGATAGCCTTGTATAAGCTCGGGTGGAACATTCTCCTTTTGGTGTAAAATTCTTTTGTTCGAACTTTCAATCAGCGACAATAATTTCTGCAAATATAAAGTTCTAACTTTTCTTCAATT